ATGTAGTGGGCATTATGCAAGAGTTGAATTATTTATGTCAAGAAGGCCTCATTGTCGATTTTTGATGAGTATGCCACCTCCGTTCTCATTAATTTTGCAGACTAAAAATATTTGATTTTGCAAATTTGGAACATTCAATGTGTTCGTAAGGTGAAGAGTTTGTTGTTATACAAACGTCGACTTTTCTTTGTCCATACATGAGAAGGGTTGTATTATCACCGAGATATACTTTTTTTATTAGGTGAATATGTACTCTCTAATAGAAGCCATGTTTCATTAGATGTTTTGCATGTGCCAACATGAAAAAATATAGAGTTATCAATATAATCTCAAATGGCTACAAGTACAACATTACCCCTTTTCTTCCATACTTGAATTTTTGTTTGCTTTGTTGGTATTGTTGCATTTGCTTCTAGGATAGGTGTTGGTGCTTTTTTCTTTCTAAAAACCAACTTTTACATTCTTTTTCTATTTCAAATTTCATTTATAACTTTTGCTTCCAAATTGTGTACCAAGTTTTATAAAACTTTTCCCATTCCTTGGTGGTGAGGCTATTAGAAGCCATGTTCTTGAGAGAAAGTATATTGGTACTCCAATTTTTTTACGAAATTCTTAAGCATAGTCTTTTTCTTGTGAGCTTTGTTTTTTTAGTTGTCTATTTTTCTTAAGCTTGTACTAGATTTTGTTGATCTAATATCATATATGAATTAAAAAAAATAATATAGTTTGAGAATATTATTGATTTTTTATTAAAAAAATAGAGAATCTGATTTAAACTTATGTTTTGTGAGGAAGGCAACCTCATTGGTTGTGCCTCCTTAAGGAGATGTGAATGGATGCAATTATATTGGTCTATTATTGTTATGCATAGCAATTAATGACAATGAATTTTTCTCATTTTTACATGTAAAGGATACTTGAACATAGCAAATAATAAACTATTAACATCTATTGCAATTTTTATTTTTATATTTTATAAAAATTATTATTGAAATGGACATTTTAAATTTTTATTTGAAGTACAATCCAAATTTTTTAAAATTATCACTTCTAACTACTTATTTAGATTAATGATGTAGCAATTCAATAATTTTTGCATATGTAAAAATATTCTTTACATATTTTATATATTTTTTGTAATTATATCTCTTATATTATAATTTTTAAAATAATATTATAATTATATTAAAGTATGATTTCTTTACTATTTTAAAATTTGATTGTTGTTTCTTTATAATTTTGTTGCATCATTGTATTACATTTGTCTATTAACCTTGTCATCAAATAATTATACTAGGTTTCAAGACAAATATGATTTTTATCATATACTAATGACTTATTATCAAATTTATTGAAGACAAACTATATATATTTTTTAATACCAAATTAGGCATAACATAATAGTATTATATTTATATGTATATATATATATATATATATATATATCAATTATAGCATGTAAATTATTTTGGTTCTTATAAAATCTAATTTTGAAGTTTTTTTTAAATTAGGATTCTAATTTTATAATATATTTTAAAATTAGTTATTAAAATTTTATTAATTATATACTATGTTTAAAAATAAGATAAAAAATTTACATCTACTAAAATCATGACAATATACATCTTTTATAAAATATTTTTTCTATAAACATGACAGTATACATATTATAAAACTCCTCCTAACTTTTTTTCAACTCATGTGATAGTCCTACAATGATACATAACATTTCTGAGCCTCAAAATTAGATTTCTTATTAATGTCATTAATAAATGTATATCTGATGATTTTTCAATAATATATGATAATAATAAATGAATTTGACATCACTTATTGATGTCGAATTCAAAGACAACATGTGACAAAAAAAATTAATTTAGTGTGAGTTCAAATCCATGAGCAAGCACAGTCTAGAATGCCCATCCTTTGTTAGGAGCAAAACACAAACTTTCACCAAGTCCCAATAAAAATCCTCTCTGCTAACTCATCACAAAAAATAAAAAATGCATATGCTTAGTGTGAGAACTAAACAAATAGTTGCTGATCGACAGAGATATGTTTGCTAGTTTCCTCTTGTGGGTCTTTTGATGCTTACAATATTGTACGAAGCCCACAATCTCTCTACTGTGCAGTGCAGACAATAATCTGCTTGAAATCTTCTCGACTGTTAGACCTATTTCGAAACTGGGCTTGCTTATTAGAAAACACCTTGGGAGTGATTGTAGAACATTCACAACTTCTAGCAGCACAATCTGAATACTGAAAATAGGTTTTTGGAGTCTAAAAATTGCAACTGGGTCAGAGACTCAACATGAAAGGTAAATTTTTTTCCTTTAACCGTCTGGTTCAGCTCGAATTCTACATTACTCCAGCATGGCATGCTTGCGGAAGCCGTCTTTCCTATTTCAATAATTCCATTCGTACACCCTGATACATTCAATCAAAAGGCAGAGGGTGTTCGACCAGAATTCCACCAGGGAGTTTAAACGGCGGTTGTTGGGTTGTTTCTTAAGTTCGTGACTACCCTCACAAAAGTAACAAGCTCGTCACCGTTCGAAAGAGCAGACGGAATTTCGCAACAACTAACTGACCCCTATTTTCAAGGATGCACCTCGATAAGGAACACATTCCATAAATAGTCAAAGCTTCACCACCTTATTGTCTCCGTCCAACATGGACCTCGACGCATGAGACGATCCTTCAACCAGAACATACCGAAACAGGACAACAACATCCAACCAGGACAACAGACACAAGCGGTTATCAACGGCTCAGCATACGTCCTTGGCATGGCGAAGGAACAAAATAAGTCACTTCGACAGCAACTAAAATATGACCCATAAAAAACAAGTCCTGGAGAATCGTGAACATTAATTGAGTTCATTCTGACATATATCATGCTCGTTGGTCTGAAACCTTTGTTCAACCTGACGGCTTGACCAGTGGGCTCCACTGCCCCCGTCGTTGCCATGTCCGCGGTGTGCCGTATGTAGGGATGACTTGCAATTGCCTACACTACAGTCTCCGCGCATCACTGAGATAATGTCTAGAACACGTCGACGTTCATCAACGGCGCTAACCCTGGCAGGGTTGCGTCTCTGACTCGCAGCAACCTTCGCAAACCTTACGCACGCTGAAAAACACTGATACGCGGTGGCTAGATCCACTCACACGCGTATCATCGCCAATGCCTATCTCTGGTCAAATGCCGATCAAGCACCATCAGATCGGCAGATGATAGGACCGATATTTACGAGAACAGGAGGTGTTCAGTTGATGTCCAGATTTCAACACGCAGAGTACTCTGATTCCAATGTCTACGACCCCATCTCAGCGGGAGAGTCGCCGGCTCCAACACAGGCATGCATCCACAGGGGCGACAGTTCATTCGTTATTAAATCTAACACAGCATTTCTAGAATACAGGGCTCGATCTGGGAGGTTACCTTTGGAGCAGATCCTTTCAGAACTAGAATCTCACACGATTGCAGCTTTTCTCTACTGACCACAGGATCGACGCACCACACCAGTTAATGTGGTTGCGCAATCGGCTCAAACTGGGTGTGCTTCAGAATCCCATACCACCCAAGTGGTACTCTCTGATCGATTGCGCATTGTGCGACTTGCATCATTGTCGAACGCTATCTACACCTCTTGTTGCATGTCTTGACATGTTCGGCGCCCACTCACCGGATGTTGCTCAATCCGATGCAGTGAAGTCGATGAAAATAGAGTCTGATCCAAACATGAGACTCTGAATCATCGATCGTGAATCTGGATCTCGTGCATCGGCGAGCGAGCTCTGGGCTGCACCATGCGAGCTATCACACCCAATTTGGCAATGCTGCAAGCTCCACAACATTTGCATGTTGTGCTCGTTTTAAATTTAATAAATTATTAATAAATTTAATAAATTTATTTCTAGATAGATATTTGATTTAATATGTGATATTCATGTGAGTATTAAAAATCTAAACAAATTTGTATTTTTTTTATTATGACTATTTTTTCATTAAATCATATATATATATATATATATATATATATATATAGTTAATGATGTTTTTATTAAAGTGAAAGTGATTTAAATCTTTATCATATTACACTTAACATTTTATCTTTTAAATCAGAAAAATTATCCACTTAAATATATTTATAAAAAAATAATAGAAAAGTTTTGTAAAGACACAAATAATGAATGTTTACCAATTTTTAGTTATTATGATTGTTTGAAAATATCAAAATTCTAGATTTTTTTCTTAACACAAATTAATTTTATATTAATCTATTGAAATTACAATAAATTAACATTAAAATCAATTAAAATTAATATAAAATAATCAATTTATTTTTACACAAATCTCTCTCTCTATATATATGTGTGTGTTTTGAAATAATCATCTTAAATTTTCATTTTAAATTATTCTATATAATCAAATTATACTTAAAATTTTAAATTTTGATATTTAGATTGAAAATAAAGCAGCTTCGATAATGATATAAGAATTCCCATTACTTATTTATATATATATATATATATATATATATAGATAGATAGATAGATAAAGAAATTCTAAATTCTAGTCCTTTAAATTTACGAAATATCAAAAAATACAATTTAAAAATCATAAATCCTAAATTTGTGGTCCTCAGATGAGAATGAAGTGGAAGAAACATTGAAGGAAAATCCAAATGGTCAGTAGCAAAGTGGAGAATTAAAAAGTTTCTTTCATAGTTGGTTTTAAAACTTAGCCCAAGATTTTACCTTCGCATAACTACTACCTGGTGGATTGTAATTTTCAGGAATTGAGGCAAGGCAAAATGTTTTGTCCTACTACCCATTTATTGCTTTTGTGCTCAGATGCAATAAATGGATGAGTAGAATGCTTCTATAAAAAAATATTAAAAAATAGTTACACATTCTCTAATTTGAACAAGCGCCAGTTTGCAACCAGTAGTACTACGCCAGTTTGCAAGCCTAAGTGTGGGGGATGTTTTTTTTAGGGTTTTAGCGTTGCGTCGCCACTCTCGGCGTCATTCGATGGCTCGGACAACAGAAGTCTCATCGCCAATCTGCCCAGCTCGCTTTCAGGTTCGTCATTGTGCTAGCATCGATCAAAAAGTTATGTGCTTTCCCTGTTACTTCGGAACCCATCTGCAGGTGAGGCGAGTCTACTGTTTCATTTTGTTCTGCTATTCCTGTATTGTTTACTTATCATGGAGGTTTTCTCGGTTCCTTTGGAGGCTCATCTATTCGAGCACACTCATCCTCCTCCTCTTTGTGGAATCCAGTTCTAGGTTCTACTTCTCGGAAGAGTTGAAACTTTGATGGTTTGAAGCTCTGGTTAGGAGCGCAATAACGAGTTGGGTTCAGAGCAACACAATCGAGCAATACAGTTGTAAGGTGGGCTATTCTAAACCATTGGGTTTAAGTGTTGTGATGTTGAAGATTATACCATATTTTGGTGTGGGTTTGATATCGCCCGTCAGTTTGAGTCACTATTAGCATGTAATGCTCACAATTCACGTCATGTGGATTGTAATCCTGCAATGAAGGTCGGGAAGGGCACGATTGTGACGCTTACATAACGGACGGACTCTTTGCGCCATCGTAAGAATGTGCAAGGGATTTTCGGATAAGTGTACAAGTTGCTGTGAGTGTGATTCCTTTTTTAGCGTTTGTAGGTACAAAGTCAGCCTTCTTTTTAAGGCATTCTTCGCATAGCATCCCAACAGTATCTGCTTGGAGTGGTTGCTGCCGCTGAAGCATCTTTCGTCCTGCTGCTGTTAGCACCCTTGTCAATTGGGCTTTCCATATAAGTTCTGGAGCTAGCGAAGAGAATACTCCAATCCAGTATGGCTGTTGCGCCGTGCTCTCTTTTCCAGCTCTCGGGTAAGATGTCAAAACCATGTTTTAGAACCACAATCACTTTCAGTCTGTGTTACAGGTTTTGAGAGTTTCGATTCAAGCTGTTGTGACATAGCGTATGTCTTTCCTTAGAAGTTTCATGTGGAAATCTCGAAGCATCTCAAATTTGACGTGGACGTTTGAGATTTTGGCTGCCATACGTCGGGTGGTCTTTCTTTGAGATTGTATTTTTCAAGGCTAATCCAGCCATGGGGGGATTGTTTAAAATTTCTCTGTGGACTGTGACGTTGATAAGAAAAAGATCTGTGTTCTTGAAGCACAATAATCTCTTGTATTCTCGTTTCTTATATCGGTAGTGCTCTGGCTTTTCATTGTCATCAAATATGGATTGGACTGCAGAAGCCTACTGGGAGTATGAAAACCTTAACAATTGCAGTAAGGAGGAGTGTTCGCCATTTGAGAAATCTTTTTTCAAAGATCAGTAAGAGCCGCATTCTTCCGAGAACGTCTTATTTGTCAGCTCAATTCAAACCGGCAACCTCCTATACCTGCATGCATCACCAAGAACATCCACAATTTGCACGAGTATTATGACACTTAATAGTGTATACTTTGAATTTACTAGATCAAAGTACTAGATCATCAAATTTATTCAAGTCTTGTCTCTATGTGCTTGCCATTAGTGGTGTTTTCTTGTACTGGTAGGTATGCGGCTTTTTCTTTTCTATTTTTATATTTCTAAAAGTAAATAAGTGAATAAAAACAATCTTCAACGTTTATTTTGCATCTTTGGCCTTGTTTCTTTTGACGTTGCACGCAATCGATCACCAACTCCGCGCAATTGATTTCGTTGAAATCGGGGGAATAATTTGACACCTTGTTTGTGCGTGAAGAATGTCAAGTATCTCTTGAATGTCTATTTAAACAATGAACTTACAATCTTCTCTTTTAGCCCTCTAGCCTGTGTGGCAGCTACATTTTTAATTTCTTTGGGTCTTCTCCGCAGGCTACTGTTCTAGATTGCACAGATTTCACAAGGTTTGTTGCAAGCTGAGAATCGGGCGAAGCTCGCGAAGGAAGAGTGATAATTTCATCTGCTGGTTTTGTAAATTTAAATGCACAATTTACACGAAGGTCGTATGGTTTGCTAGAATTTTCATATGTAGCTTAAAGAATTTTAGATAAGTGTTTGGATCATAGTTGTAGCTTGAGATAAATGTGGTGGAATATCTGTTGGCATAACACATTCTCGAATATTCAGACCAGGTAATTTTACCTGGTCAACAAATTTCCAGTTTTAAGAGTGACTATCCAAGTTAAAAAGTATCCGCCCTCTCTAATTTCCACTGTCAACAGATTTTGTTAATTTTTCTACCTAATGGGACAAATCTTGTGCATTTGTCAGCCAACGCTTCATGATGTAGTTTATGAGGTTTCACGGTACTCATTACTGGTATGTCATACTATTCCTGGTTGTTCCATCCACTAATGGTTATGTGAGTTTGTTGTCTGTATGATGTCCTCTTTGATGCTAGTTCAGAACTTACGAAAAGTTTGGCTTCATGAAAGTGCTTCATTCTTAATTTTATGGTATATGTATCAAATGTCAGACAGACTTCTGTCCTGAAGTCTGTTCCTGTGCTTTCCACTCAATTTGAGTGCTTATTCATTGAAGGCCCACACAAAAATACAGAAAATAGAAAATTCTCTGGTTCTTGCAAGCGTCACAGTGTTGGCATGACTTTCTGTACTAGACGCATGACAATTCCATTCCACACGTACACAATGAGTACCTTGCAGGTGGCTGCACACATCGCAGAGCTACACTCCACAGACAAGCACCAGAGTAGCAAGGAGGTGGTGTGGACTATCAGGACCTGGACCACCATCATATTGTACCATATTTCCACAGTAGCTCCCCTCCAGCATCCACCTGGTTTGTATTTCACCTGTGGATCAGGATTAACTCATACAATTGAATGTTGCATTACATGCTGCCACAATGTCAACAAAATCGCACTTGCACCAGAAATGAATCTTAAGATACCTGGGGCATTCTTGTGCCACCACGGCGGTTTCTAGTGGCTGGGATACTTCACTAAAAGTCCAGCAGCAGCAGCAGCAACAGAAGAAGTACTTAACTGTACTCAAGAATTCTAATGCCACTGCTTCATCTCGTACCGCCTGGGAGTATACAACTTGGCATAAACTCCCAGCTCTGACACACATGCTTGACACACATGCTTGACAAGCTCTGAAATGAGAGGCAAGGACCCAACTGTGTTGTAGATAATGCAATGATGAACCAAACTCAAGCAACTGTTTGTGAGGCTCAAATAGCGACTAGCTGCACAGCTCTGGTTCAATTCTTCTGTCATGGCAGAGGGCAAGCCTCTCCTCTGGATTCACAGCCACAAAGAAGGGATTCAGGGTAGACCATTCTTCTTTACTGTGTAGTTGGGATGGGTTTGGTGAGCAGGAGTATTCACAACAGCTGGTGTCCAAGTTGCTTGCCAGGGTGAGAAAGGCTCTCACTGAGCCTCAAGCCCTGTCCTTGAGCCCCCTATCAAAGCAATTGTGTGGACGCAGTGTGTGGAGAGGGAGCTGTCGAGCCAGTCCAGCACGGGAGATTTCTGCTGATCTCCCAGGAACCCTGAATATATTTTTGTGAGGCTTCAATGCCGAGAGTTAAGTGCACTGATTAGGGTGAAAAAAAAAACGTGCCCATGAAATGAGGCAAAAAACAGGAGACTAAAACTAGAGTTATTTATCCCACAAGCAGCAGCTGAGGAGGTGAAATATTGGTGTGTGCTCAGCTGCCTTGTCTTGATGATAAGTACCACCTAATAGCTACTTGTTTCCTCTTTTTTTTTCTTTTTTTTTTTTTTTTTTTTTTTTCCCCTCTGGTATGGAAGGTAGGTTGATGTTTTGATTGCTTATATGCTCCCCCTCACCCACTTTCAACTTGTCAGTGGCTAGTGCATCTCATCAGGCTGAGTAAGTAACACATTCATATGGATATTGTGATGAGTGACTATTCTATAATGGAGACAAAAGTTGAGCTATCCTTCAAAGAAATCTACATGAATTTTGTCAAATAGAGAAGACATTCATTCTTCTGACAAATGATGTTGCTATGGCAACTTGAATCTACTCATAGATTACAGATGTATATATTCCCCTTGTTAACAATAAACCCCTGTTAACAACCCAATTCTTAATCTGATTTCAGCTGAAAGGTTTTAGCAAAGTCAGCATGAAATGCAAATACCAAGCACAGGTGATAAAGCGAGGAGTCATACGAAAACCAAATATTTCTGGGGGCTTGAGTATATGATCTATGGGTGATATCAAAGTAGGTGGTGGTGTTCCAAGTGGGATCTTGTGACCTACTCATTAACAACCTCCTCATACGTTTGATGTGCCCACTCCTAATTACTGCTACCCAAAAGAATGCCATATCAATGCATAATAATAATAATAATAACAACAACAACAATAATTGCACCTACATTGAAGCTGCTGTAGATGTTTGCAAAGGAAATTATCCTAGAGCTGTTTGAATATTCAGCACAATGAGATGAGACCATTGTTCTGGTGTCATTAATGATAACTTTTGAGGTCCCTTGTGGAGTACAATAGGATCAGAAACTCATTTTCTATTGCAAAAAAGTGTTGCAATTCATTTCAATGTGATAAACAGGATCTACAATTCTGTTTTGTTTTGTACTGTTTAGACTCACCCTGAAAGCTTCCAGACAGTAGACTGGAATCTAGTAGCCCTCATTCTCCTAAATGCAATGAATGGATGAGTACATTATAAGCAGGGTGGTATGTTAGGTGAAAGTATATGTGAGAATATAATGGAAAAATAGGTGGACCCAACCAAACATCCAATGAATGAAATTTTCTGATTACCAAACTTTGTATATATGTATATATATAAATATATTTGAGTATCAGCCCAGACCTCAAATATATATAAATATATATTTATATATATATTTATATATTTGAGTATCAGCCCAGACCTCCAAAACTTCAAGGCAAGACCAAGCAAGATATTCAAAAGAGTGCACCCAATGAAAGAGTCAAATGCAACACACACGAAGAAATCTGTCCCCTGAACTTGACTTTATTTGGCACCGTTCGATTTCCTGCTTGTAACGGGTCAACAGATGTTGTATTATATATATATATATATATATATGTCATTCCGAGCTTACTCACTCACTAGTCCTGCTTATTCCTGCACAATGAATCAAAAGAAACACACAGAAATTGACCTTTGAAGATTCCACAAGGCAACAAAGGCATGACCAAGAGCAGCTCAGCCAGTTATGACGAAGATATGAGAAGGGTCCATTTTCCAATAGATTTCTGAGAAGTGGGGGACTAAAGAACGACACGTGTAGCACTATGAGTCCACTTCCACGTGGCATAGACCGAAAATATGGGTCACACCACAGGACACGTCAGCTTGAGTTCGGTGGATGCCACGTCACCCACACCACCCATTATGTGGGACCATCAGTACGTCATAATTTCTCAAAAACGGAATATTACCTGTATTGTAAAATAATAAAAAATAAATATATAATGCATGATTCCTTGCACTGAACATAGAATACGAACAAAGAAAAGGACAATAGAGACTTTACAAACAGAGTGTGTGCAGGAGACCCGATTGGGGCCCAGCTTGGTTTTTGCAGAGGCGGATCCATTTCCAGGTTGCGGAACAATGGCAGAGCGGTAACAACAGTGCCAGAATCTCTGAGCATCTGACTTCCCCGCAGTCCACAATGTCTCGCAACACTGAGTTGAAACTAACTCTCTCTCGCTCGCTATCTTTCTTCCCAAAATCAAGCATTGAATGGCGAGAGAAGTGCCAGCTTAGTAAGGCGTAGTAAGTGGGTTGACTCGCAGCGACTGATGTCGCGTTAGGGTGAGAGAAAAAAAAGGTTTGCAACCACAGCAGCATGCGTGGAGCCTGGCAGTGCTGGTGAGACCGTCGCTCTTTTAGCCCTCGCCAGCAATCCAGCAATCCCACCCACTCATCCATCCCCCGCACGCTGGTATTCATCAGGAAGCAAGCGAGGGTCAGCGGTTGCTGCTGGTGTTGGTTCCCTGAATGTGGGTATCGTCGCAGTTTGTCCAACCTTGGGCTCTAACTTACCCCCGGCCCTCCCTCAGTAGTAGTGCTTTGGTGGTCCAAACTCCCAATCTGGCCCCTGCGAGTTGTACCGTGTCCTCTTTCTGTCAAGCTTCGATCTTCATCACTATACCAGCCTATATTAGCTCCCCACCTGCACTGTTACTATCCGTATACTTCATCTCACTCCTCTGCATTCAAATTTTGGCAATCAAGCAGTAAGCTTGTTGTCTCCTTCACGTTCCAGGCCGCCGCATGGGAGAGATTGGCGAGCTTCCTGTTGTTGTTGTCTCTGCCATTCGGCTTGTGGGCTTGGTTGCCGCTTGTTGACTCGGAGGAGCTCAGTGAGTTGCTTGGCGTGAAATCTGGGTACGGTTTGGGCGAGACAGGGAGTTGGTTGTTGTTGTTTTAGGTCGTTCGCGTGGGCTCAGTGAAGTGAATTGGATTAGTCGTTGGTAATTTGGGTGGTGAGGTCGGTTGAGAGTGTTTGTGATTGTGAGGATCGTGGGATTGGAGGATTGGGCTGTTCGCAACTTTTTTGCACATTTTAGTGAAGGGTCAGTGGAGCTACCGAAGTTTTTCGCCTGCAATTTGAGTTCTTACGCCGGTGGATGGTAGTGTTGTTATTGGCGGAGCGGAGGGAGAGAAGTTAGGTTGCTCAGGTCCAAGCGACATATTTATTTTTTCTGCTTTGAGAGCGTCATTGCACTCGAAGCAGAAGCAGAATGGGATTGTGGGATTCATTTGAGGATGTGAGAGGCCAGCAAGAAGTGGCACAGACGGGGAAACGCAAGTATGTTTGTGTGACCGGCAACTGGAGTCTCTTAGCCTCGTGGTTGGTGCGCGCGCTTTTGGAAAAGGGCTACAATGTCCGCTCCACCATCCGCACCACTGTTGGTAATTAATCCTGTACACCTTGCACCACTTCATAGTCTTGAAAGGTGAAGGCGAACTCTGAGTATGAACTTTTCTTATGCATCAAAAATTCTAGTGGCTACATGCTAGACTGCAAATGGCCTTGTAAGTGACTGCCATGATTAACGAGTCTGTAAGTAGGTTGCGCTAACCACAACAATGTAAAGAAGCTCTACACTTCAGAGATTTGCACTTCCTGAGGGATGATTGCTGTCCATGACGAGGGAGGTGAAGAAATCAGCAATCAAAAAGGTTGATTGAGAGCTTGCAGTATTGAGTACAATTGGGATCTGTAAGCTTACTGATATCGGTTATACAATTTTATTATATGGATTGTGATTAACTGGTTCTTTTGTGCAGACGAGGCTGCTGCTTTGATGGCTTTGCCTGGAGCCGAGCAACGGTTGGAGCTAACGCAAGCTGATATGCTGGACTATGGAAGCCTTGTGGAGGTTTTCATGGGTTGTGACGGAGTGTTCCATACCTCATCACCAAGCGACCTTGTCTCCAACTACCCAGTAAGTACTCATTATGCTCTGCTTCTTCAATTACAATCTAACTCCTAACATATCAATCTTGCGTTGTACTGTTTTCTCAGAAGACTTATTGCTAACAGCTTGTAATGCTGTGTTCGAGCCTTCGAGATCGCAAACAATTTGGTGATGTTTACAATTGGGTTTCCTACATGAAGAGTATAGGGTAGGCGAGGATAAATGGTTTACATCCCTTCTTGTGTAGGAGCATTCGTTCATCTTTTCTGACAACCCTGTGACTTTTTTGCAGTCTGAGATGGCAGACTTCGAAGTGCGTGGGACCTTGAATATTGTGGAGGCATGTGCGAACTCCTCGGTGAAGAGATTGGTGCTAACTTCCTCCCTCGCTGCTATGGTTTGGGATCAGCAACGGCACGCCGATAAGGTCATTGACGAGAAATGTTGGAGCAACATGGACTTCTGTCGCTCAAAGAAGGTGCACTATCTGTTGCTCTCAGTTCTTTTCAGCACACTGTGTAAGAGCTGATATTGAATTCAAATATACACAAGAGTTTCAGTCTTTGATCCTTCTAGTTCTTTCATCCGGAATTAACAGCAGTATTGCTTGCTCTACAGCTTTGGGGTCCACTGGCCAAGACAATGGCCGAGAAAGCAGCCTGGTCACTTGCGAGAGACAAAGAGTTGGATATGGTTGTCATCAACCCTGCCATCGTTCTGGGCCCTAAAGTGTTTGGCACTACCCAATGCATCTTCACTTACTTGAAAGGTATATTTGATAATTGTACGATCCCCAGAGCATAATTTTCGTTTTTTCTTTACTTGAAGATCATCTTGATCTACACTTATAACCATTTTGTGCAGTGCATCCCTGGATCTAGTGCTCAGTCGACAGGCGGATATCCTAGTGATAAGTACTGACGAAGTTGTGTTCAATCTTTCCTTGCAGGTGTGAAAGAACTTCCTCAAAGTGGTCTGTTTGCATACGCCCATGTTGAGGACGTGGCAAAAGCTCACATCTCAGCTCTGGAAGTATCAGATGCATCCGGCCGCTACATCTGTTATGAGAGTGTTGTGAGTGAGGAGAAGCTTGTGGGCCTTATTCGCAAACTTTACCCGGACAGCTCCGTTCCCTCGAGGTATGGGGCTTTTCTTAAATGTGTCATCCTTACCTATGCATGTGTATTATAGTTTGACGTAACTGGTCTATTCCATCCATAAGTTAGTGGACCCCATTGAGAAACCATTAATTCTCTATACACGTGGTTATTCGGCGTTGGGTATGCAATTTACTCACATTTAATGAATGTCTTTTATTTAGTCTGCTTGTCAAGAAATTCTGTTATGACAAACATTAAAACAGTGCTTCAGTTTATTGATTTACGGATGTTTTGTGTAGATTTTCCAAGAACGGAATTCCACATGTGCTGTCCAACGACAAGTTGAAGTCTCTTGGATTGGCTCTCCACGCAGAGCAGAAGTTGCTTTAAAGGTGAAGGGAGCTACAGTGGCTGTGAATATCACATTGTCCTTCACCTACTATTTTCAATCCATGGGGAGAGGGTAATGCCCATTCGCATACAATCAGCTTGTCAAGCGTCAACAATCTGAACTTGACGGGAGGCCGTTCACATGTATATAATAATACCATTTGAAGTCATAGACAATTATCAAGTAGGACATGGGTTACAGCAGTGATCTGTCCTGGCAAATGGATGCTGCTCACCTTAGAGGAAAATCATTGCTGTTATTATCTCTAAGCTGTAATGAAATAATATATCAAACTCTTGATTCTTATTTGAACATTGAACAAGATTCTGATCTATGACAGACGCGCTGTGTGTTTTCCACAACACTCTTATGTTTTTTGTGTGATTTAGGATGATAACTTCTTCATTTAACTGTTCTAAACTTTTCTAACATATTTGTAATGTTGTTATAAAACCTTGGGTTATACCTCTATGATCAAAAAGTTTAGACGGAAAATATTGATTACATTCTTTCCAGGTGTACATACACTACACTTAAATACTATGCACTAAAATAGGATGCAGAGTAATGTTGGTGGTGAAAAATATGAGTTGCAATGTTTTCTCTTCTGTAATCATCTACAATCCCAGACTATGTATACATGCCAAAAGCTTCTTTTACTTTGGTGGTCAATGTTGTGTTACTATATTAAAACTAAAAAAACACTTTTAAGATGAAAGATATGATAAAAAGTAATAAGAAATATAGAGACAAAATATATTTGGTATAGTATTAAAATCGCTGCTAAAGATGTAGTTTAATTTAGTTGTCTTTTACATCATCATATGATTTGAAATGCTTCAATATAGAATAATGTGATGCATTTCATTAGAAATGATAATTATTTATGATTATTTGTAAGCAATTTTTCCAACTTGTACAACTATAAAAGATAATATATATATATATATATATATATATATATATTAATATTAAAAAGAGTATTAAGAATAACTCCATTATAAATTATTAGTTTTACATACATCAAAAAATAAATAAATGGAATTCAACTAGAGAACACTTCATACTTAAAATCCCACTTTGAAAGATCTTTGTTCAAAAGCCTTACTAAGGTTTTTTCTTAGAGAAGAAAAGTCCTATTTTAGAAATCTTGTTTTTTGGTTATAATATACCTTTAGATTTATTTTTCAACTTATAAAACCAACTAAAGGAGGCTTCTTGATTTCAACCAAACAAAGCAATTAAAAATTAAGGCTTCTCACCTTGTTCCTAAGTATAAAGTATCCCTCAACCACAACAACATGGATTATATATGTTTTGCTATTAATTTTAAGTATAAGTTATTAACAATGTTTGAATAAGTTGATTCTTTTACATTTATTATAAGTTCGTGAGTTTTTTATAATTATTTAAGTCCACTAAAAATATTTTTATACTTTGATATAGATTGATGCAATTGAAGGATGCCATAATGCAAAATTAGATCTAAATTTCCTATTTTACATCACAAAATATTTTTTTATATTTAAATTTTAAAATTTTGTTTATATATTTATTATTATAAATAATTTATGTATATAATGAATAATTCATAATAATGTTAAAACCAATTTTTTTAAATATATATATATATATATATATATATATATATATATATATAATATCTTTAAAATATATTAAGAATTTTAAAAATAAAATAAAATAACAACTTATATGATATTAAATAAATAATTAAAATATTATATATATATGGAGTTGTTAAAGCTACATCTCAATGTTATTAAAGTCACATCTCCTATAATAGGGTATAGATAAGATATTTGTATTATTAACACATAAGAATAGATAGTTGGAACTATGTTTAAGAAGTTATGGAAGCTTCTAAAATTGGGGCTAGGTTAGTGGATCACATAAGATCTGCTATAGAAAATTCTAGAAAGTTCTTAAGGTGGTTATCTAAGTTGGATCTACCATGGAACCTTCTAGAAAAGACTTACGACAGTTATTTAGATAAGGTCCACCATGGAACCTTCTAGAAAAGACTTAGGATAGTTATTTAGGTAAGGCCCATGATGGAATTTTTTAGAAAAGACTTAGGACAATTATTTAGGTAAGGCCTACCATGGAATCTTCTAGAAGGAATTTAAGATGGTTATCTAAGTGGAATCCATTATCTAAGAATACTTTAGAAAATCCAAGGTGGTAGAACAAAATATAAATAAGACTAATTAGGGCTTTTGGAGCATTTGGTTAGGTATGGCTTTGGACCTTCTGTCTTAGTAAAGTTTCGTTTTGCATAGTTTTGTCTTTTGTATCTTATTTTATTTAGTTATGTTGAATTTTGTTTTGATCTATTTTGTCCTATTTTGTGATGAGGTTTTTATGTTGCTATTGATTAAAAGAGTCTTAGACTCTGAAGATAGACTATTCATATTTCATTGATATCAGAGCAAATATTAGACAGTTCTTTGGTAGTGTGTCGACAACCATCATCTAGTTTGATGTCAATTATTGTGATTATACTAGATACTATATTGAGGCTACTATGAGCTATTCTTAAAAAGTCAACTAGAAGGTGAGAAGGCATTATAATAGTGAAGTCTAGCAAAGAAATTATAGCATGGAAGATATGGCAAAGTAATTCCAAATAGAGGCTCATATACACCACCTCTTAGGCCGAATAGGTACTTTACAAGGACACATAGAAGCCTCGAGAACAAAGGAGTGAACATTTGCTAGATTGAAATTAAGTAAGCCTAGTACATACTATGGGACTTCAAGACAAGAAGATGTATGTCAATGGCTCTTCAACATGTGACAATACCTCCAGCTATCTGGAACAAATACCATTGAAGGAATTATATATGCAACTAATTATTTGAGAGATGCGGTAGCTATATGGTGGCAATATTGAGTTCAAAGTATAGAGCTCAAGATCAATTTTTTGATTGGGAGGAGTTTGAGACCGATTTTAGGAATCAATTTTGGTCCATAAATGTGGAAAAGATAGCACTCAATTACTTGAATGTCATACAATCTAGGTTAGTACAAGATTATGTCTTTTGATTTAAGTTCCTATGTGTCCAAATTGGCAATGTTTTAGAGGCAAAGATGATAAATTAATTTCTACAAGGTTTAAAACTTAGGGTCCAACAAGAGGTGGAACTAAGAGATCTACAAATGTTTAAAGAGACAATTAGGATTGCAGAAAGAGTCAATGCTATAGATTTCAATAATCGTAAAACATGATCTATAGCACGAAGTCTTATGCCTCTATCTAATACTATGGTACAATAATTGACACCAATAGAGATTGATGCCCTACAAGGATCATTGACACCACAAAGACGACAAATATTCATGCAAAAAGAATTATGTTTCTATTGTTGAGAACTAGACCATTAGATTGGAGGTTGTCCAAAACATCAAAATTCAATCACCAACAAAACAAGGCAAATTCACAGTCTTGAGACTCACCAAGTCGATAATGAGACAAAGTAAGGAAATGAGGCTCTCTAATAAATGCGCTATAATAGGATATAGATAAAATAATCATATAGATAATTAGAACCATGGAAGTTTCTAGAATTGGAATTAGGTTAGTTGACCTGGAAGGATCCATTATAGAACATTTTAGAAAAGATTTAGGGCGGTTATTTAGGTAAGGCCTACCATAGAACCTCCTAGAAAAGGCTTAAGGCAGTTATCTAGGTGGAGCCTATTATAGAACCTTCTAAAAAAGAATTTAAGGTAGCTATTTAAGTAGAGCTTATCACTTAAGAACATTCTAAAAAGTCCAAGGTAATAGGACAAGAAATAAATAAGACTAACTAAAGCCTTTTAGGGCATCTGGTCTTGTATGGCTTTAGATTCTTTTTCTTAGTAAAGATTTGGTACTCCATCTTTTTATTCAGATTTGTTCTATTCTATTTTTATTTTTTTAGTTTTATCTTTTATGTCCTATTTATCTTAATTTTGTTCAATCTTGTTTTAGTCTATTTTATCTTATTTTGTGATGAGGCATTATATTGTGGATTGGAAGGATCTTGGATTTTTGAGATAGTGTAGTTCTATTTCAGATGCCAAGAGCCGTTATTAAGATTAGCTACTACCTCTCAGAGACAAATGGCATGGCCTCAGATAACTATAAAAAGAGTTGAGTAATACATCTAACAGAACTACTAAAAGAACAACCATATTAAGTACTTATGGATTGTGGCTCTATAAAAAATTACCTCTCGAGTAAAATTGACAACCGACTTGAGATTAAAACTAAGATAATCAAAGAAGGAAGTATATACCTTGTAAATGACTGAGAGAACATATTAAATGAGACATGTGAAGAAAAAATCTTCAAGTTGATTGACACTTATGTCCTAAGAGAGAGGTTCAAGATAACAAAGCTAAGATATGATGTTATCCTTGGTATGCCATGGCTAGAGGTGGAAAATAAACAAGTTGGCTAGATAATAAGAACAATCTCATTCAAAGATGGTAGACCCAAGGTGATTCTTTATACCTTCCCATCAAGTGAAGAAGAAAAATAATTTACAACTAAAGACTTACTTATAGGAATGACTTTTATACTACATAAGCAACCAATGTACATATGGTGGTTCCAAATCTTGCATTAGTAGTAGAAAAGACAACTAAAAGAGTAGAATGGGCACAATAATTCATATGAGAATATTAAAATATCTTTCTAATTTATCTACCTAATGGTGTGCCTCTTTTCAAATAGAATTATTGCCTAGAGCCAAACCAACAAGTTGGCCAATTTATTGCCTAACACCAAATAAACTTGAAGAGATGTAGAAAATATTGAACGAACTCTTTAAGAAGAGTCTCATTCAAAAAAGCACATCATCATGGAGAGCACCTATATTTTTTATATCTAAGAAAGATGGTAGACTTTGACTTTGCATCAACTATTGAGGCCTCAATAAGCAAACTGTTAAAAATGCATATCCACTTCTATATGTAGATGATCTTTTTGATCAACTTCAAGGTATGCCATCTTTAGAAAATTAAAACTTTAGAGTAGATATTGATAGACACCTATTACAAGAGAGGATGTTAAAAAGACTACATTTTGTATGCGCTATGGACATTTTGAATAGCTTGTTTGACCTTTTAGCCTAGTACAAACATACACATAAATTAATAATTACCTATATGATTAGATAAAGGTGGATAAAAATAAGTTAATTCTATAATATCTTCTATAGAAGCTTTTAAGAAGCTGCATACATGCTGCTTTGACTTTATAGATATCTAGAATTGACTTTTTAGGTTAGAAATGTGGTCAATAAGTTAGCTATGTGCCACACAT